ACTCGGAATACTACCACCAGTACTGCTGTATCGCTGCTACTGGCAGTACTCACAATACTACTATTGGCAGTACTCGGAATACTACCACCAGTACTCCAGTACCACTACTCCTGACAGTACTGATAGTACCACTGTACTACTACTAACACTACAGTAATGCTGGTAGTATTTCTAAACTACTATTATTATTGATGGTACTGACAGTACTCCTGATAGTAGTATTTCTAGTACTATGACTGTACCACTCCTACAGATAGTTGTTCTACGATTACTACCGATAGATTGACTGATTATTCTTGGGACTGATTGATTGATTGATTGATTGATTGATGTTGCAGTTGTTGTGTCTGCTGACCTTCTGGCTGCTGCTGCGTCAGTCACTGACTGAGAAGAAAGACAGACAGACGGACACACAGCTGTCCAACATCAATGTCCACGTGGAGGGTAAGACACCTGTCTGTCTGATCACCTGTCTGTCTGATCACCTGTCTGTCTGCCTGTCTGAACACCTGTCTGTCTGCCTGTCTGAACACCTGTCTGTCTGCCTGTCTGAACACCTGTCTGTCTGATCACCTGTCTGTCTGTCTGATCACCTGTCTGTCCACCTGTCTTCCAGAGGAGGATGTGCAGAAGAAGAAGGAGGAGGTCCTGTATGAGGAGGTGCTGCTGCTGGGAGCAGGAGGAGGAGTTCAGATGGAGGCTCTGGTTGCCGTGGTTACCAGGATGTTTATCAAATACTGGATCTACGTCTGCGGGATGATGTTCTTCTTCGTCAGCTTCGAGGGGAAAATTGTCCTCTACAAGGTCATCTACATGGTCATGTTCCTGTGCTGCGTGGCCCTGTACCAGGTACGAACACCTGGTTCACACCTGGTTCACCTGGTTCACACCTGGTTCACCTGGTTCACGGTGACACTCAGGTGCTTTGAAAGTTGTCGTTTGGATGTGGCAGTAGGCGGGTCTAGTGTGGATTACTGATTGGGTCTTTGGAACAAGGTGTCACTTGCTTTAAAAGTCTACCTGTCTGTACCTGTCTGCATGTCTACCTGGCTGGCTCTGCAGTTGAACTACGAGCGTTGGCGTGCCTTGCTCAGGGGCTTCTGGGTAGCAGTGGTGGTTTACTCCATGCTGGTTCTGATCCTGGTTTACACCTTCCAGTTCCCCTCGTCCCCCCACACCTGGAGCTACTATACTGGACTCAGCACACACAGGTGCTTACACCTGTACACACCTGTTACACCTGTCTGCCATGTCTCTGCTGTCTCCAGCATCATCTGTGTTTGTGGTTCCAGGTTGGAGGATGTTGGTCTGGAGAAGTTTTCGGTTCCGGTCCTCTTCACCAGGATCTTCATCCCTGCGGCGTTCTTACTGGTACGGTACAGTCTCCCTGATGCAGGTTTCCAGGGCAACGCTGAGTGTTCTTTTGTTGCCCCAGTAACACAGCACGCTGTTTGTCCTGCAGGTGTGCATCGTTCACCTGCATTACTTCCATGAGCCGTTCCTGCAGTTGACTGACCTGAAGACTGTAGTGGAAACACACAACAGCACCATCACCAGGTAACATATACCTGCAGCACTGAGGTCACCTGACCTGTCCGATCACAGGTCATCTAACTTGTCCAATCAGCATCACAGCTCATCTGACCAGTTCCCAGGCACCCTGCTCTGTCTAACCAAAGCTGTCAGACAAATGGACTGAAACTAGTCTCAAGAACTCTTGAACTGGTCCTTACACCTGTGCAAGTCTTTTCCTCACCTGTCTCTGGCTCTCACCTGTCTGCAGGCTGGTTCACTCTGACGGCAGCCTGGTCGACCTATCGTTGGGTGGAGGTCCTCAGCTCCACCTGGAGGAGGAAAAGGGAGGAGGACAGGGGGTCGGAGAGGAGACGTGGATGAAGGAGGAGGAGGAGGAGGAGGAGGAGGAGGAGGAGGAACAGTACCCCTGCATGTTTGACAGGGAAACCCTTTCGGAGCAGCTGACAGGTAACCAGTGTGGGGGTGTGGTCACAGTCTCACCTAAGTGAGCGTGGCCAGGTGAGAGACAGTGTGTTTCTCCTCAGTGCTGCTGTCCTGGAGGCTGGTGGTGGATCGTCTGTCTGTGCTGTTCCTGCGCCTCCTGCTGTCCCTGCAGCGGCTGCAGCGCCTCCTCTGGTGGCTGCTGGAACTGCACATCGCCAAGATCGTGTCCTCCTACATCATCTGGGTCTGTGTGAAGGAGGTCAGAGCCTGCCTTTCTGTCTGGCTACCTGTCTGTCTGTCTGTACCTGTCTGTCTCTCACCTGGCTATCTGCTTCTCCTCAGGTGTGTGTGTTTAACCTGCTCTTCGTGCTCTGTGTGGGCGGAGCTTTGCCCTGCAGGGCGTGGCGTCCCCTGCTGTCAGGAGTCTGTACAGTCTGGACTTGTGTGGTTACCGTCTGCAAGATGTTGTACCAACTGAACGTCGTCCAGCCTATCAGATACTCCGTCAACTGCTCCATGGTAACCATGGCAACAACTGCTGCCTGCCTGCCTGCCTGCCTGTCTGACCTGTCTGTCTGTCTGACTGCCTGTCTGACTGACCTGTCTGTTTCTATGCAGCCCAGTAACTCCTCCCTCGACCTGTCCCATTCGGTTTTGTACTCTGGTCCTGTTGATCCCGCCCAGTGGGTGGGGCTTCGGAAGACGGACGGAAAACTGCTGGACTACCTGAGGGTGAGACGTGACATCACAGCCGTAATAATGACAACAACAGTATTCGTCACATCTCCTGAGAATCACCATCGTATCTGTTGCTTGTATAACAACCTGATGATGTTAGCGCTGTTAGCTCTGAAGACTTAGCATCGTGCTAATCTGTCTCCACAGTACAATCTAATGATGTTAGCACTGTTAGCCTTCGAGGTGACCGTTTACCGACACCAGGAGCTGTACCGCCTCCGCCGTAACAAAGTCCCACCCCCCACCAGGACACTCTTCCATGACATCACCAGACAACACCTGGACGATGGTGTGATGAGCTGTGTTAAATACTTCCTCAACTACTACTTCTACATGTTTGGACTGGAGGTGGGACGCAAGCTCTTTAGCCTACCAACATGCTGACCTGTTCTTGTTGAAAAACATCCCCACCTGTCTGTCTCCTCCTCAGACCTGCTTCCTGCTGGCTGTGAACGTGATTGGTCAACGGATGGATGTGTTTGCTGTCGGGCACGCCGTTGGCCTCATTGCTGTCCTATCACATCGCAGCAGGAAGCGCATCGCTTCAGTGTGGCCACGGTACTGCTACTTCCTGTCGGGTGTGCTGTGCTTCCAGTACCTGCTGTGCATCGGCTTCCCTCCTGCTACCTGTGCAGGTACCGACACACCTGCAGGCGACGCACTTGGATTGTTACTCCACAGGCACCGTCACCAACACTATCATTCTGTTTCTACTCACCTTTTTTCTTTACTGGAACTAAGCTAACAGTTTCCTCTCTGTGTCCAGTGTTTGTGCTAAGCTAAGCTAACAGTTTCCTCTCTGCGTCCAGTGTTTGTGCTAAGCTAAGCTAACAGTTTCCTCTCTGCGTCCAGTGT